CCCCCTTATAAACGTGCCCTCCATTCCCATTGTTAGTTTAAGTCCTCGGGGTCTCATAACATGCAGACAATAGCTTTTATTTGAACAGAGCAGATCTCCCCGCTAGTAGGAAATGTTTAGAAACGAAGAGAAGAAGAGAAGGCCTCTTTTACGCAGTGACTGTTTCACACACGGACAACAAGGAACAACCTGACAGAAATCTGCCCCCCCCTCACACACACACCACGTTGCTGATATCCGCTCAGGCTGCAGATCTTACATGTGCAGTTGCTATATTGGTTCACTCGGTTTTTAGCTCGACTTCCATAAATATGACACACTTTTTGTTATTCTGTGCATATCCAATTATTCAGCGTCCTGTAACCGCACTGGCTGGTCAGTGTGGCAAAACTAATTCAGTACGTTTGTGTTCTTCAGTGCATGCTCTAACACTTGGAGGACTGCCCTGGCATGCATTCAGCAGAGACTCCCTCCGTAGATGGGCCTAGCTGCTGCTTCAAACCAGTCGGATGTCATTCCTGCATCAGGCACAGCACAGAGCGCCTCGGGCCAAACGGCCTGTAATTCTTTTTATTTTAGATGAGAAGGTTTACTTCTGTCAGCATTTAGGCGCTGAGCACTTTCTACAGCTTTGACATGACCGCCAGTGGGACTGTGATGATTGTGAGTCAGGGTTGTTTGAAAAAGATAAACATTATCCATGAGTCCAAATCTAGACCAAACACGTCGCTGCCGTTACAGATTAAGAACTGCGTTTCTGGAAAAAGTCGTGATAGATGATGAGCTTTGTTCTCCGAGTGGCAGATTTGATGATCCTGATTGTAAATAATGATTTTTCTTCGTTTCTAGCTGAGGGTGGGGCACCAGAAGCAAGTCAGCTGATGCAATGCTGCCATAGGAGTGATTGTTGGCATAAAAACTATTATTACTGTATGTTCACATTAAATGCAGCCCTCATCCAGCCGGCCTTCAATCCCCAACATGCTTGTATACACCAAGCCAAAGGGTGTAAAAGTAACGATAATAATAATCCTTTCTTTCTTTTTTCACTTCACATTTGGTAACTTCTTCCTGACCTCTCATAAAAGCAGAGCTGGGATTTTCTTTGTCTCTCTGAGGTTTGGCTCGGGAGGCTTAACAGAATAGTTCTCTGACAACCTCTACCGGTTTTTCCTGCAGATGCGCCCCAGGCTCCACGAGGACGAGCACACAAACTAAAACATGCAGTGAATTAGATTAAAGATGACTTTTACAGACTCACATCAACGAGTCATGAGAGGAAACAATGTTTATTCTCTCCTGAGATGATTTACTCTTTAATAAAATCTCTAATCTGGATTGACAGAAATGTAAGAAGGCGGTGACTGACTCTCTCTCTCATGAGTGGGTGTGTCTTCGTGTCTGAACACGGCGTGCTCCAGTAGATAGACAGCTGCATTCACCTTTCTACCTGCCAGGTGAGACACGGAAGAGACAGCCTCGCAGTAAACCCGCTTCTTCATCATGCTGAGAGGAGCTGAACGCGAGTGATCCGCTGAGCCTGCACGCCGGACAGGTGAGCTCGTTTACCTGTAAACACACACCGTGCTGCTGTTTTCTTTGCGCAGTTGTGATAACCGTTTAACTGCCTTGCTGATCAGGATGTATGTAATCGTGTTTTTTCCTCCCCAATTTCCAGGTAAAAAAAACCCCAGACAATCAAAATCACCTGTTGCGTCCGGCTGACCTGCGATCATCAGCGCGACCCGCAGTGCTCGGTATCTAACCAGGTACCCACAGCTCGGCAGGCCCGCACACAGCTCGGCCCGCACTTGTGAGCTCCAGCAGGTACAGGAGGAGCACCAAGCCTCTACCCGCAGAGACTCCCGCCTGCAGAACTTGTGTTATCCGCACAGCTGGAAACTTTGCCTGCGAATTTCTGTGCTCAAAAAATTTCAGTCATTGTTTCTGGTCGTGTGTGTAACTTCCCACCCCGGCCTTCAGCGCAGGGCTGCCGCGTGGTTTCTGTGAATCATCGGTGTTAAATCTGGGCTGCATATTTGAACTGTTTCAGCGTCACTGTTACACGAGCAGAGTCAACATCAGTGTCACCACTGTATCATTTGATTTGTATTAAAGCAGCACTACAACAGCTGCATGCTGGTGGGCCTGACCTCCTCATGCATCTGCTGTCCACGCAGAGTCTGATCTCCACGCAGAGTCTGATCTCCACGCAGAGTCTGATCTCCACGCAGAGTCTGATCTCCACGCAGAGTCTGATCTCCACGCAGAGTCTGATCTCCAGAGGACTTGAGCGTTTCCTTGCTGCCCAAACTGAAGCCGATCACAGGTTCACAGCAGCAGCCGCGTTTCTGGCTATTCAGGTGTAGCTTCCAGTAGTTCAGTTGTGACATATCCCACGGAGGGCATGGCAGTGGTGTTACCACTTGCAGACTAACCTTCAGTATTTCAGGTATGTTGGTGAACCAGCTCTGCTCTCAGAGGAAGGGTGTGACTGTGCTTTTGAGGGTGGCAGAATTTAATTAAAACTCTGACAATAAAAGGCTGCCTGCTGCTGACACTAAACACAAGGATGTTCTCGCACACCGAGCACATGACTTTAACATGATGAAAGGAAAAATGACTGCTTGTTTCCCTGTGCAGCAACACAAATAAAGCAGCACTTCCTGCTATCCTGATGTCTTCCTTTCCTTTAGCATGGCTGAAATCACCTAAATGACACTTAAAGCTTGAGGAGTGATACGAACAGTCAGTTCAAACTGATTTTTAAGTAGGTGTAGTTGCTTGAAGTCTAAGGTTTTCAAGAGGACTCAAATCCAGAGGCTTTGAGCAGTTTCTGCCTTTGGAAACTCAAAACCTGTACTACAGGTAACTCTGTGGTTCCATGTGCCAGGGTCAGAGGTCACTTAAGGCTTCAAACGTTCTGCATTACGGGTTCTTCCACATCAGGCGGGCCCCAGTGGGGGTGACTGCAGGTCGTCGTGAGCAGAGAGGAGTGAAACTAAGGTCACTGAATATCTTGACCAATAAACTAATGTGACCTTTAACACTACCCCCCCCCAATCAATGACTAAAGCTGTGGGATGAGGTGGGCATGTCAGGGGAGACTACAGCTTCACAAACACGTATTCATGGTGTAAATGCTGATGCAATTTATTACATTTTGAGATGCTACAAGTAAAAGCAACTTAAATTCATTTTACTTAAAGTCCAACATGTTGATTCATGATTGGTCGATTGCATAAAGCCCTAAATCAAAGAAAACAGACAACACATGAAAGTAAAGTCATATCTGAAGCACAACATACACAAATACACATCACTGTGATCTGCACCCTCACCAACTGGAAGCACGTCCACTAGGTGGCGCTCTCATCAAAGAATAAATTAGGGAGACCCACCACAGTGGGCGCTAGCTCCGCTACAACCACAACTTTTAATCCCTCCAATTTGTAAAGTCCCTGAAAAACAACACGTGTATGGCACATATCTCATCCTGTCAACAGCACGTAGCACAAACTGTAATTCAGCGACTGCATGTTTGTTCAACAAACCACGAGAGGAAACAGCTTCTGCTCACAGCACAGGCGCTTGTTCTGCAGATTTATCATTTCAGCAACATTTATCACAAAGCAAAAACTCTACGCAGCACCAAATGCTCAATGAGTGAATCATGTGGCAATCAAACATTTCAGCGATGTGCTCTTCATTATCCGTTTTTTTCCTCTCATAACCAAAAATATCAGGACCTGAAGAAATATAACAAAACACTAGATTATCTCCTTCCTGCAAGCAGGAAGCACGAGACCGGAAAGTCCTGGAAGTGACAGCGGGGAAGCTTGGTCGATGAAAACTGAGGAAACAATGTGAGGAAAAAATAAATTTACAAAAATAAATATAAAGCTCCCTTTCTCAATAAAGACAACGAGCAGGATACAAAGTTTCATGGAGGGAGAACCGAAGTTCACATGATTTGGTCTGACGGATGTAAAAAACAAGAACGCAGATTAAACAGCATCTGAGCACAAACTCAGGCTGGACACAGGCAACATACATGCATTTCATTTGGTACTGGTTCCTTTATGGTCCAGCTGGAAATGACAAGCTCATGAAATATTGGCAGAAATACTGTACAGCAGTATATGAGCACATATTTAGTTTCTACAGAGATTATTATTGGCTGTTTGCAGCTTTAGCCCTTTCTGATAATAAAGAGGGAGCCAGTTAATATTGAGCTGAAATGCATGTACACATCTGTACACTCTCAGTAAGCATGCACATAGAAACAGTGAGTCATATACAGTCAAACCACTACAGTTTAAGAAAGACGGGGTTAAGTGAAAAAAAAAAAAGAAAAAACGCAAACACGTCGAGCTGATCGATGTCCACAGATCGCCGCGAAGCTCCACCCCGTCTGCGCTGGAACAAGGTGGGAAACATGAAAGCCAGAGCTACCAGCACCGAAATCAAGGCTTATTTCTTTATAATTACAGCAAATAAAACAAAACATAATGCATCCCCTTCAGAGTCAAAGGCTGTGTGGCACATGGGCAGCCCTCACAGGGCCTCGCTGCACGGCGAGAACAGCGGTGCAGCGCGCTGTGACAAAGAAGCTGCCACGGTGGTATCTAAGACACTGGAACAGCCACAGTGGACCAGACAGGCCCATGAAGAGTCTGAGGAACTCTGAGTTACATCCAGCAGAGGCTTTAAGCCCTTTGATGGCACACAATGACCACAGCAGGGGGGCAGGTCCTTCATTACACAGCAAAGAATCATGGGAGATTTCTTTTGGCTTAATGTCACCAGTTTAAAGAAATATGCAATCACATTTTACAAATCATTAAAACAAAGATGAGTGTATTTCACTCACACATCCACTTCCTCAACTCTGGAGGATATTAAAAAAAAAAAAAAATCCCACTGCCAACTCTGTCCAACAGAGCGAACGGGTGAAAATAAAAGATAAACACACACAGGAGGACTGACAGCATGTGTGCACACGGCCGAGAGCCTGAGTCACCGCTTGTGATAGGCACCTGAAAGAGATGGAAGAGACAGAAAATGAGCTCCATGTACTGCAGTGTAGCGCTGCAAAAACCACTGACAGTCGACTAATCGTGGCCCTGCTGCGGTGCAATCTACGCTGCAGTGTTTATGAACTCGAGTTTTCCAAGGTAGAGTTCAGGAGTTTATTAATACGAGTGAGGAGAAACCAGCTTTGGTCGAACTAAACAGCTTCAGCATGCTCATGTGTTCATGCAGGCAGTGCTAAGAAAATAAAGGTAGATGTTCCTATTTAGACATTTGAAAGAAATGAAGATGTTCATTTTAACATTGATGGTGTCAAAGATGAGGCCCGGGGACCAGTAAAGACTGGACATCTGGACAGCAATGAAGAATGTAAACTTTAGACTTAACTGTTTTTTCCTGCTGATAAGTGACCAATCACACAGCACCAAAGTAATCAAGTAAACTTTTTGTTTGTTTGTTCCCAACTTCAAGCTTGTTTGGATGCAAACAACACCGGGGAAAGTTTCAGTCGGGTTTAAGCTTCAGCACGGAAACGGCATTACTGAGAGTCTTTACTGATCGTCTCTCATTCGCTGACTCAGGCGCCCTGCGGTCTTAGCTTTGCTCGACTTGTCCTCTGCTTTTGATTGACCATAATGTCCTTTTAATGAGGCTTAAGGTGGGCATCACAGGCCCTTAGCTGGTTCAAATCTCTCAGAAAGGTCCTTTTCTGTCACCATGGATACCTGCTCCTCCCCCCGTCACCTCTGGTGTCCCCCTGGGCTCTGTGCTGGGTCCTGTGCTCTTCTCTTTATACTTGTTACCTTTGGGCCGAATCCTTGAAAAATACAATATTTCTTTTCATTTTTATGCGGATGACATTCAAATCCATTTTGAACCGGCTGAGGATGTCACGTCGTCGTTGCAACACTTCTGCAATTGTATGAGTGAAGTTAAACTCTGGCTGCTGAGCAATCCCCTCATTCTCAATGATAAGACTGAAATTATAACCGTCGATAGTCAGGCTGAACTCAGTGATATATTTGGGCCCTTTGCTGACTCTGATACCTGGTGCTGTCTTGTTCCTTTAAGCTGGACAAACATGTGTCCTCGGTAGTTAAATCCAGTTTCTATCAACTACGTCTCATCTCTAAGGCCAAGCCCTACTTACCACGTCAGGACCTTGAAAAACGTATCCGTGCCTTTGTTACATCCAGATTAGTTTACTGTAACTGCCTTTACACTGGTCTCCATCCTCGTTCACTGCAGCTCGATCAAAACGGGACTGGAGGTTTGAGTCTATAATCCAGTTCTTTGACCTGCACTGGCTTCCCATTAAATATCACATTGATTTTAAAATCATAAATAACACCACACCCAGCCATCTTACTGACCTCCTCAGCTTTTATACCCCCGGGGGAGCGCTTAGATCAGCAGGCCAAATGCTCCTGGTTGATCTAGATCTCGGCTCAACACCAGAGGTGACCGTTCGCCTCTATCGCACCTCTGGAATAATCTCAACCTATATCTGCGCGTTTGTAATGGTCCTGTGTTTTATCGTTGTGCTCTGATTAAAGCTGACAGTGTTGAACCTTCAGCTTGTGCCTGGTGTATAGTTATGTCTCTGTAAGTGCACTTAATTGATTCTGTGAAGCACTTTGGCACAGCCCAAATGTGCTCTATAACTAAAACAAAACAAATACTGTAGTATTACTAGTATATTTAGTTAAACTTTGAGCCAGTGTTGAGTCTGACAGCCCTGATCTAGACTGATGTTTCCAGAACATACGCAGCCAGGAACGCTGGGATTTCTGACGAGACGCGGCTGTTAGCATCAAGCAGACTAAAGTGCAAAAACACCACAGTGTTGAAAAAGCAGCAGCTGCCTTGTTCAGGTTTTCATTCACCTCTGTAAGTTGGATCGGGTCTGGCCGGAGCGCGAGGGGCAGCAGGGTGATCTGGGTAGACGTAGCCAGGACTGACATTCTCATAGTCGTGTGCGCGCGGCTGTGGAGGCCTGAAACACGTGCAAAACATTTATTAATACATTTCTGCTTCTTTACCGACGGGACATTTCTCCTGGTGAAGCCGTGTACCTCGGAGGCTTGTAGTTCTTTTGCCTTTGGTACTCGTACTCCTCTCGTGTCCTGGGCCGGACAACATCCTCGGAATTTGGCTGGAAACCAACAGAAATTATGGTCCCACAGAGGAAAAACAGTTTTATATGGAAAAAGCAGGCATGTTAAAAATATGCACGGTCATGGAAAATTACCCTGGAGTCTCCCTCTTGCCGCCTCCTCTCCACGGCCATCCTTTCCATGGCCAGCCTCTCCCGCTCCTTCTCTTTCTCCCACTCGCGATTCTTCCTGTACTCCTTCTTCTCCTGCTCCATCAGCAGGCGGGCGATTTCCTGGCAAAGCGAGGCGACTCGGTCATTTACCCCACAATACGTCCTACATGTCACATGACGTAACTACACAAGTGTCCCAGATGTCATCAGAACACCTGGTTCACACCTCCGGTGCTGCAGAGCATCTTTGCACCTAACATTTATCCCATGTTGGAGGAGTTTCCACACTCACCTCATCTTGTGCCACCTGGGCTGCACGCACGTGCACCTGGCTCGCCTGAAACCAGAGAAAAGTTATTCTCACACAGACTGATGTTACGTTTTTGACATCAAGGCTTAAAGTTCTTTACAGCTTTGATAACAGAGTCAAATGCTTTACTGTCATTGGCTGCTCTGGAGCCAATCACGTTTCATCATGTCAACAACACATTTATGGGCAGAATCATTCAAACCTTTTCTTTACAATCAAAACCTGAGAAACTCAACCAACAGACCTTTAACTTTGCTCTTTGCTCACACTGTTTACCAACTATAAGCTAATGTGATTGTTCACATATGGACAACAATAGGACCTTGATTTCCTCCTCCTGCAGTTTCCTGGCCACCTCCAGGTCCTTCAGCTCTTGCTCGCGCAGATCGAGCTTGGTCAAACCCTTGGTGGCCTCGCTCAGTCCGTACTCAGTCTCTGGCATTACTGACCCACCGCCACGGTGCGCAATACGACCTGCAAAAGGCAAATCGTGACTAACAGAGTAGGGCTGCGACGATTATTATTAGGATTCGTTTCAGCAAAAGGAAATCTCATCTTAAAGGTGCAGTTTACACAATTACAGAATAAAGTTCGTATCATTTTTCTTGATAAATTAAAATGATTTATGGATCAAAATCATTTGTTGAATGATCAATAATTTGATGCCACATTCACACAAAGATACATTCAGCAGCAGTTGGATTAAATACAGCATTAAGAAAAGGGCTGCAGCGCATCTCCACTGGTGTTCGCTGTGTTTGTGGCAGATCTCAGATCAGTTAAATGGTCAAGTTTAGCTTCAATTGACAAGAACACACAACCAGCTCTGAAGCCCTTCATCAAGGAGACATTGAGCTGATCAAAGCTCATCAAGCATAAGCACACAGCACACGCCTCACTGCAAGCAGAGACTATAAGAAACTCCACACACGGCGAAATGAATCACTGGACTCAAACATGGCTGATCCTGAAACAGTGAAACTAACATGTGTTAGCGACTGCTGTTAGACTGACCCACCACCTCAGACTGCCACAGAGAAAAGGTTTAGCACACCACACCCCCCCGCAGAGCCCAGAGGGAGCTCGGGGTGATACCTGTCTCGCCGCTGGGTTGACTATGACTGCGCTCCCTGCCACGACCCTCCCCCTGCTGGAGGTCCCAGAACTCCCTGCTGCCTCCTCTGCCTTCGTCGCCCCTATGATCTCCAAACAGCTCATTGGGGCTGGACTGGACACGGTGCCGTCCCCTGGTCCTTCTCTCAAAATCCTCCTCTTGCCCCTCCCAGGAAGCCCTCCCTTCCCTCAGCCGGCCCCGGCTGTGTGCCGGCTCCACAAAGGCGTCTTCGAGTCCTCTCTCCCTGCTCCGGGTTCTTGCTCTTTGTCTTCCTTTGTCTCGATGTCCGTGTCCCTCGAGCTCTCTGTCCAGACTTCGTCCTCTGTCTCTTTCTCCGTCCCGCCCCTCTGCTCTTCCCCACCTGAGGTCCTGGTCTCTGTCCCTCCTCCGATCTCGGTCCCTCCTCTGGTCTCTTGCAGTGTACCTCTCATACTCCGGTTCTCTGCCTCCGTCTCGGTCGTACTGCCTGTCTCTGACCCACGGTTTGTCCCTCTCTTTAGGGATTTGTACTGGAGGTGGTCTAGCTGGTCTCTCTTTCCTCCTCACCACTCTCTCTGTGTCCTCGTACCCTAAATCCCTGGCTCTGCCAGTCTGTGAGGGCTCGTGCTCTGGACACCTGTCCCCCTGCTTGCCTCTGTTGTGCATCAGGTGCTCAGGAAAAGGATCGGCGTGCCTGCTACGGCCTCCCTCTCCCAGCAGATAGCCCTCTGGGTATCTGGAGCGACCACGGGGTGCTGCAGCATCCAGTTTTGGCTGTCTGCTCCTCTTAGGTTCTGTTGAACTATAATCTGGAGAGTAATCTCGACGTGAGCTCACCGGAGCATCGTATCGCCCCGGGGACGCCGGTGTGTGATGTCTGGGTTTGTCCAAGTCTAGAGGTCTCCTTGCAGCTGAGCAAAGCAGAGTGAGAAGGCACAATGATGATGATGATGGTGGTGGTTGATGAAAACAGGGAAAGTTAACAACAGACAGGTGTAATACAAGTCGAGACAGTTAGTGAGCACCGGGTTAGATACAGCACCTGTGAGGAGAGCAGCGGTTAGAAGAAAGAGGAAATGCAGAAGGTGACATCAAATGACCCAAAACGTCCCGGCAGTTGTTGTGTTAGCAGCTGTCAGATGAAGGCACTCAGGACTCGTGATGGGACATCAACCAGTATGTGATGTTTTTAAATGGTTACAAATGAAAACCAGTCTTTCCTCCATTGCACTCCACGTACCACTGCTTTTGTAAATACAGATGCTGCAGACACACCAACGAAGCAAACTGATGATCTGAGCACGTTCACCTTTAAGAAAACCCGTTTGTTGGGAGTCGACATGT